AGACTGGATTCTATCTATTACCTTCCTTTTGAAGACTGTTGATTCTTGTTCTAGTAGGCAACTCACTTAATGGCTAGCCATCTTCAAATTGGCTAGGTTTGATTTTATGTTTTGTTGTGGAGAACATGTAGAACCCCAACATGTTTCCCATTTACCTATAACTTGGCAGGAATCAACCTCCAAAATATGTTGCCTCTGCGGTCTTGTCATGGCTTAGTGTTAGGGTTTGTTGCAGTGGGTATAGAGTAATGGTGTTCAGTTAAAGATGATTTTCTCCCCAGGTGACATCTGGCAATATGGTAAGACATTTGGGGTTGCACAACTAGGGTGGAGGACATTACTAGCACTCAGTGGGCAGAGGCCTAGAATGCAGGCCAAAACCCTACAACACACAGCACAGCTCCACACAAGGAATTATCAGGCCCACAATATCAACACTGTCGAGATTGAAAACCCTTGTAAACTGTACTCTAAGGCACAGTCCTTATTTCTACCAGGGGGAATTAATGAGGTTTTGAAGCCCTCTACTCTGCCTGGAATGGACCTCCAATGACCTTCAGCATTATATGGTGCCTAATGTCTTTAGTATGTACTCTCTGGTAAGCCTCACATAGCCTTGCTCTGTAGACACTATTTCTTGATAGGAAGGTAACATTACAGCACAAGGGAATAAGTGAAATAATGAGATTTTGTGGCTATTTTTGCAATTTAGCCACTTCTTTTAGTACTAATAATTCTTGGCACCTAGCATTTTCTTATTGCAAACATTTTTTATGCACTAAACTTAGTACAGAATCTCTGAAAATGTGTCCTTTATATGATGTTCATTTATTTTATGGACTATTACTGAATCTCAAAATACAGTTTAATATGGTAGAAAAAGTGATGCTTATACATGCCAACCATATGCCCGAAAATTTACTTATTTGATTAGGAATTATACATGTAAATATGAATTTTACTGCTACCTAACCCTTTGCATGTTTACCCCTACGACTGGCTTCTTATATTGAGGGAGTTTAATGACAGCATATTGTGATCAAGAACCCAAGATATAAGAGTGTCTAAAGTAAAAGTTTGAAGACAAAAAAAAAAAAACTTATAATTTTCCCAAAAGAGTTTGATAAAGTACTGTGAATGAAATACACCATTCCACTTGAATCAAACAATGTATCAAGGCCCATCATAGGCACATTTTATCTCAAGCTCTCCATGGTGTTGTTTCTCTACCTGGAGGCCTGCACTATCTCACTACCTTCTCACCTGTCAATCCTTCCTCCCTCCTAAAACAAAAATCCACACCTCAATTCAGATGCCAGTAATAGGGATATTGCTTTCATCAATGCACCACTTTCCCAACCCATGAAACAGTTCTCTCCCTCTCACTTCACTTTCCTAATTAAAATACAATCAAAACAAAATGATTATGCTCACACCAGAAATGACATTTTCTTACTTGGTTTGGAATCTACTACCCTACCTGGTAAAACACAACTGTGCTCGAGTATTAAAAAAGTGAGACAATCTGGAATAAATAGAAAGAACAAAATAAATGGATCAATATTCGACAAATAACAAAAAGACTATGTCTAAATACTGACTTATTTATTGCATTAATTTGATTTTGTCTTTTAACATAGTACTTTCTTTTCTGAGCAGACTATCATATATTCACTTGACTTTTGTGGATATTAAGTATTCTTGCCTTTTGTTTTTGTTTGTAAACTCAGAAAAGACAAGCTTACACATATACTTAACTTGCTTAGTTCAAGGTAAAAGAAAAAAAACCAGTATTCAATTTCTATTTGATAAGAATAAGCAAAGCTTACCAAGGCTAGAAATATAGATGGTTATCTGTATAGTCATAATCCATACTTCATGAAAGAAAAAAAACTATCAGAAGTACACATAAATATTCTAAGAGTAACATATAAAATCTACTAAAGATGTAACAAAACTCTTTTGCAAAGATAAATATTTGCTTAGAGTTCACCATGTGCATGCTCACCTGGCTGCAAAAGAGCTACTTTAATAACCAGGATCAATATGTTATTCTTTAGGCTGCCATTCACTTTTTAAATATTTTTTAGATATCTTTTAGCTGTTGATAGACCTTTATTTATTTATATGTGGTGCTAAGATTCGAACCCAGTCAGTGCTTCACACATGCTAGGCAAACGCTCTTCCACTAAGCTACAACCCCCGTCCAAGTTTGCCATTCATTTTAACCATAAAATTGCACCTATTTCAATAAACTGGGTAATTTTTATGCTTTAAGAAAAGTACGACATCCTATAACTAAAAATCTTGAATACTGAAATTATTATTTTACCCTTTCTAATTGCATGATGCAGTGATTTTAAATAATAAATAAATAAATAAATACATTTCCCAAAAAAGATTACAAAATGAGTAGTTTGTCTTAAGGCTCCTATTTGTTTTCCAATTACTTTTATTGATCTTATAGGCAGAATAGCATCTTGATCTCTTTATAACATTCAACAACACCAAAGATTTAGAATTCTGGTGTCAATAACAATAATTACTAAAAATCCAGCAAGCAATTTACAAGTATTTGATATTCAAAAGGCGTGTAATTGTGATAACAATAAAATAGTCTGTGTGTTAAGACATAAATAGCAACATAGCTTTAGTACCTCAGGCATTGTCTACTAATATTTATACAAATTTTGGAAAGTGAGAAGCACAGTGGCTATTAACCAATGATTATGAAAAATATGTAAAAGTGCCTATTTACCTAATATGTTCAACTCATCAGCTTGACATTATGTGCTGTTATCATTTACAAAGCATTAGAAATCAATATTAAACTTGCCTCAAGCTTTTTTGCAGATGAATAATCTTGATGAAGATACCCTCATTTCAAAAACTAAGGTCATTTGCGTTTTATCTTCCCTTGAAACATTTCAGAAGGCTGAACCTAATGAACTCCTGATCTTAGACTACTGGATGAACAGTGACATCTAGTGGACATTACATAGCTAAACAAATGTTTTTAAACAGATCCATGAAACAAGTGAGAATACTAGATGTCTCACCTTTAATATTGACACATGTATCTCTACTGTATAAGAAAACTGCAAACACTTCCTAGTAGATTCCTATGATTCAGTAATATATACTAAAAGAAAAGCCAATATTAGGCTTCCAATATTTATTCTTAATCAACAACCCTTTCACAGGAAAATGTTCCTTGCAGATTTTTATTAAACTCCATTTTTATGTATGTCCCAATTCTTGTTTCTAACAGAGTGACACACAGGAACTACTGAATAATCAATTCTATGGCTCTTTTGAACACAAGGATTAGAATGTCCCAGCAATAGACAGATTCAGACATCCCATGTGACAACACGGATGTGAAAAATTAAGACGTTACACAAGCTGCATGTGCACTGTTGTTGGGCTGAGTTCATTCTGGAGGTATTATTGACTTTTTGTAAACTTAAAATATCCAGTTTGTCAAGTTTTTATGATACAGCTAGATCATGGAATGGAATATAAGGTCAAAATGGAATTACAGAATAGCTTTACCATCAAAAGGTCACTGCTTCCCAGGTATGTCTACTTCCTACTCATAAAAGACAGTACATTCTCTGCCTACTTGCCCAGCCCAGCTGAGACAGTCCATACAAGCTTTTGTTATCACTTATGAGTAACATAATGATGAACCTTAGCTCATCATCTCTGCACAAGCTACCCACCAGGCACCCAAAACTGCTCCCAAGGCATTGATGGCCAGCTCCAGAGAAACTACCTTCCTGGGCATATCAATGCTGCAGGTTCTATGGTTGTTCTTGGGACACACTGGGACTGTCTCTTCTAAATGGACTAAGGTATCCCCCAAAGTGACTGTATATACATGGCTGAACACGGGTGGGTATCACTCACTATATATTTCATGTCCCCTAAATCAACTACCAAGGATTAAGGCTTTACATTTCTCTTCCTCTTCAATTTCTTAAGGCTTGGTCAATGATCATAAAGAGATAAAAGGCCTAAACAACAGTTTGTATGTTAATGCACCAGCCTTCCCAAATGAAGAATGAGCATATCTGGCACTTATCAAAATGTCCACTACCCATCTGCATGCCATGCTGCTGATTACCTGGGACATTCATCTACATATCATTTATGTGCATAAAGATGGCCCAAGAGGCCAAGACCCTAGGTCTGGATACAATGGTCTACAGGAGTAATATCTCACAGGTGCCACGGAATTGGGGATCATAGGGAATCATTTTAACATCACTTAAAGACATGTAAATGCTAGACAGACATGTTCCAATGTAAATAAACATGTTCATGTATATAAATAATCACTTAATCTTATTAAATCAATAAGCGTGTTCATAAGTATTCAAGGTCAAATGAGGTGCTATGTATGTAAAGTCTGGGGTTCTCTCCAACCCACAACACCCACCAACTTCCCAGTTTTCTCTTCTCAAGAGTTCTTAATTACAAGAATGTGTGTGTGGGTGGTGGCCACAAAAAGTTAAATGTGATGTTTACCAAGGAGCCAGGCAGCTGCAAGTGACACTGGAAGCAATTGGAGATTAGAATCAACTGCTGTACACTACGCAGATTTCATTCTCCTGTTTTTCCTTCTCCTTCGCCTCACTCATTTCTGCCTGAAGCTAGTAGGACAGGATGTTGCTGTCTGGACCCATGAGTTGGTACAGAATTTCCCTAGTTTCTCCTGTAACAAGGATGACTTCTGAGTTCCAGGAGAAGATACTCTTAACAACTCAACACAGTATATTCAGAGAATCTCAGATTAAAAGCTATGTGTGGTCATGGGCTATTATTACTGTCTGTTTATCATAACCTTCTCCCAAAAAGAGAATTCAAAACTTGAATGGCATTTTGGTTTTAAGGTCTATGTCCTACCTGTCAGCATTTGACGTATCTTAACCTTGCACTTGTCTTAAGAATGAATTAGTTTAGGTTTGCAAATAAGTCATCTCAATTACCAACCTACAAAAACATTTTCATAACCTCCTCTCCCCACATAAACTACTCAAAGAGTAAAGTAAATTATGCTTTTCACTAATTGCCCAGGACAATTCCTCACTGGGTCTCTAAGAGTAGACAAGGGTCTAGCTGAATGGTTGGATGAGCTGCCACCTCCATATCCCAACAAACCTAGAAATAATTTGGTCTGGGTCTAAGCGCTAATATCACGCTGCCAAGTCTCTTTCTGAAAAGCATAAAAGCAAAATATCCCACTCCTGCAAGCAAACCAACCACAAGGGTGGTGCCAAGAACTTTTGGGGCCCTTTTCTTGGCCACCCGGAATGCTGTTGGCAGCACTGCAGAGATTAATATATTGTTGACATGTCCCAAAACCTTGTTAAATGTTTTTCTCTTCAAGACACGCTCGTAATAGGTTTCCAAGTTCGGTCGCTTTCCATTTCCCCAATTCCTCCTTGCAAAACCCAGGAACTTCAATCGATGCAGTGTGACAGCAAGTGAGACATCTGCCAGGGTAAAGGCTTCTCCGCAGAGCCAAGGCTGGTGGCCCTCTTCTAATCAGAGAAAAGGACATGGAGAATTAGAGGCAAAGCACCGTATTAACAGACTCTACATGGTACCTGAAGTCTCAGCCTTAAGGACAAATGTAAGTGGAGCGAAAAATGAAGGCTATGGGGCTGGGGTCGTGGCTCAGAGGAAGAGTGGTCGCCTAGCATGTGTGAGGCACTGGGCTCGATCCTCAACACCATATAAAAAAATAATAAATTTTTTTTTTTAAATGAAGGCTATGGCATATTTCCTTGACAATCACACTAAGTAATTTTATGCTTTAAAAAAAAAAAGTCCATGCAAATGTATCCCAAGCTAAAGGAGACTTGTTTAGACATCTGTCAGCCACCTAAGTCCTTAGGTAACATTGGAATCACTTGAGCTCAAAGCCATTCTATCATTTTGTAAAGGCCTCAGAAGTTGAAAGCCTGTGAACCAAAGGATTTAACAGACACTTCCTCCTGGAAGGAAAACACAGGTGCGCCTTAGAAAAATCATCAAGTTAAGCTTCAAACATCACTCAGGGACTATTGCTCTAGTCATAGTAAGCCCTTATTATCCACAGGCTCCACCTCCATGGATCAAAAATATTTGAAAAAGAAAACTGCATTTGTACTGAACAAGTATGGACTTTTTTCTTGATATTATTCCTTAAACAACAGAGTATAACAACTATTTTTATGGCATTTACATTATTTGACATATTACAAGTAATCTAAATATACAGGAGAATGTGCTTCGGTAATGTGCAAATACTGTATTATTTTATGTAAGGGATTTGGGAATCCAAGGATTTTAGTGTCCTAATGGGCCTTCATATACTTATTGAAAGCAGAAGAGAGTTCCTATTATAAACAGGTTTCAGGAAACATGGTCTTCAACTCTGTCATCAGAGTAGCACAAATGGTCCATGTGTATACACCTGGGTGATGGCTTAGTCCTAAAGTTCACAGGTGCAACACATGGATGCTCACTGGTCATCCTACAGATACACACATGCTGGCTTCCACTTTACACTTTAGACTGAAAGATGTCTCCCTACCTAAGGAAAAAATCAGAAGGGCATTCAAGTAATTACTCAGGTTATTCAAACAAACTAACTACAAATGTGTAAAACAGGTTAGGGAGGAATCTCCCAACCAAAATACAAATGGTGCAGAAAAATACTTCCCCCGTCATATTTCATATAGACTGAGTTACAATTAGATACCTGAGTTCTTCTCAGAGCAACAGCACTGTTGCTATCATAATTAAATCAGCCCATGAATAATAACAATAAAAGACAGATTATAAACATAACATGTTTGGTGAGATTTGTGATGTCCCTATAAGTACTCCTGATGTTGAAACAAGAAAAAGAATATAAAGGAGAACCTACCTGGGGTTTCTTCATTTCTTCTTTGCAACTCAGTTTCAACCTGATCCAAGACCTTCTCCAACTCATCAAGAATTTTCTTCAAGTATTTGACATTGTCATGATCAAGCAGCTTTGACTAATTAATAACCAAAGAAAAAAACTAAATAGGTTATCTATGCCTACAAAAAGTATCCACATAGCAAAAATTAGATATAAATTCTTATACAGAGATGGAACCTGTTTATTTTAGATAATGGAAAAAATATATAATAACTTTGTCAAAGCCAATGTGAAATTGCAGGGAAATACCCCAGCTGCGAAAACATCGCAAGACTAGAACCACAGCCCACTGGTCAAATGTTGAGGCACATAGAGCCTCCTCTAGTCCACAATGAAGAATCAGTTTGAGCAGCCTTGAGAGAATGAATGACCCAAAGGTTAGGAACAAAGCAGAAGTCTGAGTGCAGCAAGTGGACAGTAAGGGACAGCAGCTGTATGCACAGGCATTTCTCCTGAGGCGCTAATTTAGCTAAGAGAGGATAAAGGAAGGTGGAAATGGAGGGACAGTTGGGAGTGCTGCTGCTGTGACATCTATACTGTGGGAGAGTCTTCTATGTGTTGATGGGCCACAGGGAAAGAATCAACAGAAAGCAAAAGGAACTGCTGCTCCTTGTCAGGGGGCAGAGCAAGCCAGTGTCTGGAGGGACACAGGCCTAGAAATGGCTTATTGTATTAACTTGCTGTTGCATTTTATAATCTTCCATGGCAGCTAGCAATGTTGAGTATCTGCTTCCTATATAATCATCTCTTGGTTTAACTATCAAATGTAGTAATGAAAACTTTTTCTAAAAGAAAGCATAAGCTACAGGTAACACACACTGGTGAACAGCAAGATTTAATAGAAGATGTTCTACAAACAGTGAATGTCGACTGCAGACAGCATGGTCACTCACTTTGAGCCGTTTCTGTTTGGCAATGTATGCCTCCTGTAAATCAGGGTTTTCTTCAGCAAGTTTCTTCAATTCGGACTCTGTGTTACCAATTTGGCCTGATAAGAGAAGCATTTTTGAGATTAGAAAAGTATTCTCTCCTTTCTGTACCAGACACAGGGGGAAGTGGGAAAACGCTATGGTAAAGGCATGAGCTCTGGGGCTGGTGCCCTGCCACTGCCTCAGACATGCCCTGTCTATGCCTCAGTCTCCTCACCTTTAAGATGAGATAATGAGTACCTACCACACAGGCTAAGGACTGAGCAGCTCCCACAGGCACTTAGAGCAAGGCCTGGCACATTCCAGGGCTCCATGCACGTGAGTTGTTCTCCCTTCCCGCACTTCAAGTTTCCATATGAACTTCTTTGTGAAGAGGAAAAGCCTTATTTTTAAAATACTGTTCACTATAGGTGATAGAATGGTAGTCAGAATGTGTGTTTCAAATCATATGAGTACTTATGAAGAGATAGAGTGGGGACAAGAAAAAGAGGGAAAGCAAGAAGAGAGGGAGAGGAGAAGAGGAAGGAAGTAGAGAGGGAAGAGAAGAGGTGTCAAAGGAGGAAAAATAACAGCATAAAGAGGAACAATAAAGGCAAGGTATGATGTGGTGGGAAAACATGGCTTCTGCATCTAGAAGACCTGGGCTTGATTGTTCCTAGTCAAACACCCTAGAGTTTGACCACGGTCACCATCCCTGGGCCTCTGTCTCCAGTCACCGGCATTATGGAGCATACTTCCTTCGGAGGCTCCACCTCCTGTGCACTGACCCTCCTCTAGCCTCATGGCAGAACGAAGGGAGAGAGCTGTATGACACAACTCAACCTCAATAAATCTCCACTCACTGACTGCAGAGGCAATGCCTAGACACCAACTAGTCCAGCTCCCTCACACCATGAGATGATAATTATAGACCAGACATGTAAACTTAGCTGTTCATAATCCAAGTGGATTCCAGTTTTTCTGACTCCCAGTCCACCTGTTTTATAAGAATATGTGATGTTCTCTACTGTCACACAGGTCACTCTTACAAAGAGTTTTATCCAAGCTTGGCCCTCAAAGTCAAAAGCTGACAAATCAGGGCCCACTGACAATAAACGTCCAGCTACCTTGCAGAAGAGCAGATAAACCTGACTAGTTCTTGGATCAATTCAGAATATGCATATATACAAAGCACACTCAATAACCCTATTCCCTCTCAATGACAATGCTGTGTCTCAAAATGAATCAAAAGAAGCAATAAGACAGATGATAGAAATTAAAGGCATAAAAATAGGAAAAGAAGAACTGAAATTAGCACTATTTGAGGATGACATGATTCTATACCCAAAAGGTTCTACCAAAAAACTTCTAAAACTAGTAAATGAATTCAGCAAAGTGGCGGGATATAAAATCAACACTCATAAGTCTAAGGGATTCCTGTATATCAGTGACAAACCCTCTGAAAGGGAAATCAGGACAACCACCCCATTCACAATATCCTCAAAAAAAATAAAATATTTGGGAATCAACCTAACAAAAGAGGTGAAAGACCTTTACAATGAAAACTACAGAACACTAAAGAGGGAAATAGAAGAAGACCTTAGAAGATGGAAAGATATACCTTGCTCATGGATAGGCAGAATTAACATCATTAAAATGGCCATATTACCAAAAGTACTCTATAGGTTTAATGCGATGCCAATCAAAATCCCAATGGCATTCCTCGCAGAAATAGAAAAATCAATCATGAAATTCATCTGGAGAAATAAAAGACGCAGAATAGCTAAAGCAATTCTAAGCAGGAAGAGTGAAAGAGGTGGTATAGCGATACCAGATTTCAAACTATACTATAGAGCAATAGTAACAAAAACAGCATGGTATTGGTACCGAAACAGGCAGGTAGAGGACACAGAGACCAATCCACAAAATTACAACTACCTTATATTAGACAAAGGTGCTAAAAGCATGCAATGGAGAAAGGATAGCATCTTCAACAAATGGTGCTGGGAGAACTGGAAATCCATATACAACAAAGTGAAATTGAATCCCTTTCTCTCACCATGCACAAAAATTAACTCAAAATGGATCAAGGAGCTAGGAATCAAACCAGAGACTCTGCATCTAATAGAAGAAAAAGTTGGCCCTAATCTCCATCTCGTGGGGTCGGGCTCCAAATTCCTTAATAGGACACCTATAGCACAAGAGTTAAAATCAAGAATCAACAAATGGGACATATTCAAACTAAAAAGTTTTTTCTCAGCAAGAGAAATAAATCTTCAGATAGAGCGCTAATCTCCAGAGTATACAAAGAACTCAAAAAGTTAAACAACAAAAAAACAAATAACCCAATCAACAAATGGGCCAAAGATCTAAACAGACACTTCACAGAGGAGGATATACAATAAATCAACAAGTACACAAAAAAATGCTCACCATCTCTAGCTATCAGAGAAATGCAAATTAAAACCACTCTAAGATACCATCTCACTCCAGTAAGAAAGGCAGCCATTATGAAGTCAAACAATAACAAGTGCTGGTGAGGATGTGGGGAAAAAGGTACACTTGTACATTGCTGGTGGGACTGCAGACTGGTGCAGCCAATTTGGAGGGCAGTATGCAGATTCCTTGGAAAGCTGGGAATGGAACCACCATTTGACCCAGCTATTCCCCTTCTCGGACTATACCCAAAAGACCTAAAAAGAGCATACTACAGGGACACAGCTACATCAATGTTCATAGCAGCACAATTCACAATAGCTAGACTGTGGAACCAACCCAGATGCCCTTCAACAGATAAATGGATTAAAAAAATGTGGCATTTATATACAATGGAATATTACTCAGCATTAAAAAATAACAAAATCATGGCATTTGCAGGGAAATTGATGGCATTACAGCAGATTATGCTAAGCGAAGTTAGCCAATCCCTAAAAAACAAATGCCGAATGTCTTCTCTGATATAAGGGAGGTGACTCAAAACAGAGTAGGAAGGAAGAGCATGAGAAGAAGATTACCACGAAACAAGAAAAAGAGAAGGGAGGGAAAGGGAGGGAGAAGGGGAATTGCACGGAAGACAGAAGGAGACCCTCATGGGTTCACAAAATACATATACAATGGTGTGAGGGGGAAGGGAAGAAAAAAAAAGAGAGAGAGATAAGTGTCACGGTAGAATGAGTAGAGAATAGTGATGGGAGGGGAGGGGAGGGGAGGGGAGTGGGGGATAGGAGGGCAGCAGAATACAACTGACACTAGGATTGCTGTATGTATACACATGGATGTATAACCAATGTGTTCCTGCAATCTGTACATGTGGAAAAATGAGAATTCATACCCTATTTGAATCAAATGTATGATATGTCAAGATCATTGTATTGTCTTGAGCAACTAATAAGAAAAAAAAAATGAATCAAAAGAAAACTTCAGCAGGGCACAGTGGCACACACCTATAATCCCAGCAGCTCAGGAGGCTGAGGCAGGAGGATCATGAGTTCAAAGCCAGCCTCAGCAACAGCAAGGCCCTAAGCAACTCAGTGAAACCCTGTCTCTAAATAAAATACAAAATAAGGCTGAGAATATGGCTCAGTAGTCGAGGGCCCCTGAGTTCAATCCCTGGTAGCCCCCGCAAAAAAAAAAAAAAGAAGGAAAACTTCAAACTGAATTCCAGGTCTTTAAAATTTTTACATACTGCGAATCCTTGTGGTTGCATAAGCTGGGATCATGGAGTCCACGGTCAGCTCAGGGTGTAAAATGCAGCCATGTGTATAGGCATCCATTGGCAAGGAGTCCAGAAGCTCTCGGTAATGTTGCACTCGCGGATAATACATGCTTCCTTTATCAGGCATTAACCTGGGTGTTCTTTCTAAAATACAGAAACATAAACACAAGTATTGAAGAAAAAGTTACAAATGTTATATCCAAAAGCAAAAATCCTCATCCCTCATCATTAACATTTCAACATTATATAATTACATTTAAAAGATTATGTCCCCAGTCCAGTCTGTTTGAAATAGCCTGATGCACTAGACCAGATTCCTAACCACAATCACACTGACATCCTTTCACTTCTCCACTTTGCATACTGCTGCTGAACCCTCCAAGTCCAGTTCTTTACTCCACTTGCTCCATGAAGCATGCCCAACCTCCTGCATCTATCACCCATCAATCACCTCAGGTGTGCCTTCCTCTACATATCCATAATACAGGCACATACTCTTATACAGAAGTTATCACTCTATAAATAGTTGTATCTTTTTGCATCATGGACATCTTCCTGAGAAGAAACACATTTTAGGCCCTCCACAAGTGAAGGAATACTCACTATGGGAAAATAATCAACCAACACTAGGAGTGACCCTACTAATACTATATAAATATTAAATGACAATCTGAATAGAACAATAAAAGCCTTTGAACATATACCACAGCACTTTCCCTAGGAATATCTAATATCTGGAAAGTGTGTTCCACTTGAATCTTCACTTGAGGGCAGGTTAAAATCTAGACTGCAGATTCTTTGCAGGCAGAAATCATATATTGTTCTCTACTAAATCCCTAGTGCCTAATATAATGTCTGATACAGAAGGTGCTCACTAACTTATAATTAATACTTTCCCAACTTCCAGTTATTTTAGAATATTGGAGTTCAAGAAAGAAGCTCTGAAGTACTTAGTGAAGACAGTGAGATATGGAGGCTGAGAAGTTCTCCCAGGATCCCACAGCTATTTAGAGGCAGAACAAGAACTGAAGGCATCTGGTTCCAGTGAGATGTAGTGCTCTATTTTATGATATTATTATAATATCTTCAAAGGATTTAGAGACTATCCAGAAAGAATAATAGTGACATCCCAAATGTCAGGAATATGTCCCCTCAGAATCATTTCCCACTGTTTCTTAAACCATCCCTGAAAAACTACCAACCAGCTTATTCTGCCTAATGAAAGAAACAGTCTCAATGTTCTTCATATATTGATTTCTTAGTTTGCATTATCTATTTAATTTAGAATTCTTCTGAGAATCTCATACTCATTCATAAATGTCAATGATTCATAGTTGGTTGCCATCAACAGAGCATTTCAGGCAAGATCTCCTAATGTCTGACCAAGCAGAATAAGCTTTTTAAACTAGCAGGCTATTTCTGACTCTAAGAATAAAGAAGATGGATTACTCTTCAAACCAGCAGACAAATATCTAATTCCCTGCTGGAGAGTCCAACGCTAAGGGCTGCATTAGAATAACCAAGAATGAAGTATCAGCTATATTCTGCTCCTCCAAAAGATTACCACACCAGAACATACTGCAATACTGACCCCACATGGAAAAAGGGCAGGTAAGTCACCTATGACACAGTCAGGCTCTCAACATGGAGGATCTTACAATTAACTCCTTGGGTTGACTTCTCAGGACCTCTACAGTGAACATGCGATGCACCAGGACCCAACTAATGCATGGTAGTCATTTCCATGCAGACCACAGATCCCAGGCCTTGAAATCTTAAGGAAATTTTAGCCTCTCATTTACCACCAAACTCTTCTCAAAATAATAGTGTTCTTAAATGCATAGAATACAAAACATGGGATTGCAAAAGATATTATATTGAAAATAACTTTAAATGATAAAATACTAATATGCATGTCTCTTTAACACATTAATAAGATTTAGCAGCAGGTCTAATAACTATCCTAATTTTTAAAAAAATTAAGATATCTATAATAATTTAATATGCCATGAATGGATCTGATTTTCATTGTTAACAAAGTCATAAGCATTCTTGATATTGTTATGGATTATATCTAATAAGTAATGAAAGGAAATGATAGATTCCTGTTAGAAATTAGTAAAAATAAAGAAAATTTTTTCTCAAATATTTCAACTCTCCTAAATTCTATTCCTAAACCCTTAAGGGCAACATTTTCCACATATAGACTAAGGGTCCTTGGGTTTCCCCCAAGATACTTTGCGGGGAATCCACAAAATCAAAGCTACTTTTTAATAGCAACACTAAGATGTTGTTCGCTTTTTCACTCTTGCTGTTTCTTAAGCATAGGGCAGAGCTTTCCAGAGGCCACAGGAAAGGTGATTACTACATCACTTTGACAACTAGCAGGATGTGTGATTGAACATTTTAAAATTTTCTCAGTTTAAATTTCTAAATATAAGTATTGATAGAAATGACCCACATAAACAAAACTCTCGGGCATCCTCAATTATTTGTAAGACAAAGGGATCATGAGACCAAAAAAGTTTTAGAACCACTGCTTTAGGGAAGTCAAAGATCCTCAGGTTAATAACCATAAACAGCACAACATTTTCAGACGAGATCGGGCGCGTTCAGGGTGGTATGGCCATAGACCAGCACAACATTTTCAAATGCTTCCCAAATGTCAAATTGATGACTGCTGGCTCTGGCTGCCTCTGGTGCCAGGCCCTGAAGCATTCTCCAGAACAGCATTCCACTTCCTTCCCAGGAAAGTAAACGAGAGAAGGAAAAACAAATGTCCAATTGCTTCCTGGGTTAGTTCCATCTGCCAAACCTGAATTCTTCATAGGAGAACAAATGCTTGAATTCATGAAAATAAATTTCTTCTTCTCATGCCTTTGCCGCCTACTATCTCCTAAAGTACTCCACCAGACACAGCGTAAGATGCCCACTGCATCCACACTTTCTACCCATCTCCCTTTTCTCCCCACATGCTTCAAGGATGTCCATTCCAACATCACACAGGCAACCTCCTCCTCACCCCAGGGCACTGCAGCATCCACTGCCTCTGGGAATTTCCTTTGAATTATACAAGATATCTTCCCTCCCAAACCCATTCTATTTTAGTTTCCAACTCTTTCATTGAGCATCTTGGTTATATACAGTACACAGAGGAAGGGCAGGGAATCAGGGGAGTTTTCAGAAGCAACTGATGAAAGGAGGTCCCAGTATTGGGGATCGAGGTTGCACAGCAGGAGCCAGGCTTGGTGACTGCAAGAATAAATCAGGGTTGGGGTGTAAGCTCAGATGCAGGATATGTGCTCAGCATGCACAAGGCCCTGGGTTCAATATCCAGGACCACTACCAACAACAAAAAGAATAAATAGATAAATTGACAGAAGACCAATTAAATAAGTGACAAGACAGGTCTTGTATTGTACCTAAATTAGGTGGCAAATTAGAAAGATGCCAATAGAGAAAAAGCAGAGTTCCTATAGCAGAAAGAAAGATGTGATAACAGCAAGAGAAACCAAAAGAATGGGGGGGGGGGGGGGGGTGAACAACAATAGAAGCATTCTGCAGCCATTTAGTGGAAACAAATGACCTGTATGTGAGCCCCTGTGTTGCTGAGTAGAATAACAATAACAATAATAGCTCTGGGCTATTTAAACAAAAAACAAAAACTACATTGGGTTTTCTCAAGGGCAAAAATGAAAAGAGTTAGGAGTTTAAAAGCGTAAGTTTCCATTATTCTACTAAATTAACTGGTCTGGTTTCCTAACATCCCTAGTGACAGTGGATAAAGCCATTATTATGCCTTGTTTTCAAGGAAGACACACCCCTCAGGTCTATTTTAGTAACTTATCCTATCTTCCTTATTAGATTAATGAAAACACATTAAAATTCAAATCTAACTCTATTGCTTTTTTTATTGCATAGTGGGGGCATGAGTATATACATAAGTAACTGAACAACAGTATACCCTTCAATTAGGCATCCATCAAGCTATTTAAACAAGTCATGACCTGAAGCAAAAGATATGGTTACAAGCTGACTAAAGACTCTCATCACTTTGGTACTAGAAAGATTAAATCTAAACACAAAAGAGGAAAAAAACACTTGGTGTCAAATTATGTGACCTCATATGCCTCCAGGGTTTTCTGAGACAGAGACAAATCTAGCATTTATTTTTCAAAATAATTTATACATTATATAGTAAATGTTCAACTACTTTGATAGGTATTATATTTAAGACTTTTAACAGAAACATTTGCAATGAGAGGGACAAATATTACTTGTGCCAACTGTTGGATACACTTACAGAACTATGGCCTCTGCACTTCAATATCCCTATCTGTCTGCTAAAATTGGACAAATCACAAAGTAAAACAATAACTTCTTTTCAAGCAACTTTTATTGACATAATCATTAATCTTAAAGACTCATTTTCTGTTCCTTACCATTTTCTCCAGTTTGTGTTAATATGAAGCTTTCAGTAGAGGTGCTAAAAGGTATATGAAGTTATTCAATTATTTAATTATATATGAGAATTATATATGAAAACCATTCACTGATAAGCATAATATCATTTTATAAACCTTAACAACTGGCCTTAAATATTTTAATGTAACAATTACTTCAAAATTAATGTTTTTTAAAATGTTATGCTTGAATTTTAATATATACTGTATTTATAAAATAAATTTATATTTCCTGGTCAGACTTATATGTTATTCTAATATCAGACCAGGATAGTTGATTATTTCAAAAGCAAATTCAATTTCTAAACACTTTAAATGATATAAGGCACAGGATATAATTTTCAAATTATAACATATTAAATTACCAAAACTCAATATTCATCATATATCATTGATTCTAGCTTACCATTCAGTTATTTGGCATAATAAATATCAGATGTTCTAATATTTTAGAGTAACTTCATACTCGCTTTTTAAATCTAGTAGCCAAATTAAATTTTATTTGAAGAAGTTTTGAATAGGAAAAAAATAGCTGGATTTTAAAATTCTATTAGTGTGTCCTTGTCATATCCTGTTCCTGAGTTTGCCTAATTTACTTACTGTCATACCTCATCTAACTTAATCAATGGCTTGCTTTAATAGAAGTATTCATTACACACCTGCACTGAAGAAGATATCAAGTACATGAAAAACTGAATAGTAATAATAGCATATGCATATATTAAAAACAAATTAGGAACTTTTATTGAACTTATAGGAAAAAAATATTTGAAGATTAATAAGCTTCCAATGATTTGGGATCTCTGAAGTATGCTGGGACCTTGCACCCAATTAATACCCAATAAATGGCTACTGAAAGAATGAATGAAAGGGGAGCACTAGGCCAGCTCTTAACTGAATCTGTCTAAATTCCTCCTTTGGCCCAAGTCTTGCCTGGACAATATCAGTCATGTCTACATCCTTCCTCCATGTGTATGCTTTCCAAAAACAAAACAAAAATATAATCAAACATAGCCATTAACCAATTTATATATGCACGATTTTAGGCTAAGACTTGAAAAAGGATTACCTTGACTCTCATATTTCTCCCCTAAAACTATCCATTATTTAATGGATCATCACAAAAGCACAAGGATATAGACATGAATAGTGGTACACAAAAAGGTCAAGCAAATCCTCATTTTTAGTATAGACCCCAGTTGACAGAATAAAAAAGGAGAGCAAAGGACAACAGGGATATTGGTTCATTATATGCTGTTGTTCTTTAGAAGAACGGCCACACCGTCTCCTCATCACACCTCCTGAACCACATCCGCTATTATCATTCTGACATGTCAACATTCCTCAAAATCCTATCCATACCTAGACAAAATGCCAAATGTTCTGACCAACTTTGAATGCAGAGGATTACCACCTGTACAGTCCAGATAGAACCTGAGATCACACTAACCTTTTGTTTCATTATCCATCCTTAAGTCAGCTGATTTTTAAAAACAAAATTTATATATTACATTAGCCTCATTAAAGTTTATCTGAGCTTTTTTTTTTAATTCTTATTCCATCAGAAACATTTCATAAGATGGTCATCATTTTAACCATTTTAGATTTTCTGTCATTCACATATGTAATAGAATGTCTTCTATGTCTTTATTCAACTCATTTATACGATTTTCAGGTTCAAGTCAGAGAATAGAAGACTATAGAATACTAGGGTTGGGGGGTTGAGGCTCAGTGGTATAGAGGTTACCAGGATGCACAAGACTCTGGATTAAATCCCCAGCACAGCCAAAAAGAAAAGAATGCTCTAGAGATCCCCATCCAGACTGACGCCTATTTCAATAATTCACTCATTTTAATCATTCAAAAGCATTTTAAAGCATCTATTAAAAAGCATTCACTTGTGCAAGGCATTGGGAATACAGTTTTTAATAAGACAGGCATTGTCTCTGACTTCATGGTGCTTACAGTACTCTATAAGTCATTCACATATTTAAAATAAAGTATGATAAAAATAATCATAAGTAAAATAAGAGTCCATAGCTAGAAAGGCAACCTGGTATAACAAATCTATAAATGAATATCCTTCAACATGGTAATTTATTCATCTACAAATGGTGCATTACTATCATCTAGCTATATTTGTCCCTTTATCCCACAAGGGTATTGTATAAAGTGATCTGAAATACTCTACTTACATCAAGATACAATGTATCTACAACCATGGCTGGTACATAATAGACACCTTTTTAAAATATGTTTGTCACATTCTCAAGCCATGTTGAGACTTAAGCTAGTTTCTTCTACTGAAAGACCCAAAACTTTTAAAACTATATTTTAAAAACCCTTGGCAATTTTATCAGTTGCAGAGATACAACAGATCCAACCAACTCTTATTTCACTCTTTTCTCTTCCCCAGGAGAGTAGTTATTTAATTGGAAAGGGGGGGAAAAAAACATTGGCAGTCCATTCTAGAATTCTGCCAGACTTCAAGTCAGTAATTTACAGCAGTGCTTAAAGCTTCAACACAGTAATTTATAGCATTATTCTCAAACTTTAATGTACATATAAATCACGCAGGGTTCTTGTTAAAACAAAGGTTCTAATTCTGTAGATCTGCTGTGAGATTTACAGTGCTGCATTCTAACAAGCTCTTGGGTGATGTCAGTGCTGCTGGTGGATGCAACACAGTTTAAATGCCAGGATCATAGGATTCCACTCTTTCCTTTCTTTTAACTGCTGGATTACGTTTATCACTTGTCTGGCTCTTTTCCTATTTCCCCATGAGTTCTTAAAGATAAAAATTAAGTATCTTAATTACAATAGTGATAACACTGATGTATGTTTTGTTTTTTTAATTCCAATACTCTGAGGTAAATTTCATCTTGACCTTTCAACTGGATTAGGCTTGATTTATATGACTATTGCTCTCTTTCTGTCTTTCTATCTACCATAAATTATAGATCCCTTAATCTTTTTTTTTTAATCCTTTCCAATTGGATACTTACCCTCCTGGGAAAGAGGAAAGAGTGAAATAAGAGTTCATTGGACTTGCTTTATCTCTACAACTGATAAACCTGAATCACCTAATCTAAAAGGCAAATAGAGAAATTTAATCACTAAAGGTATTCAGCAACTTAGTAGCTGCATCAGACTAAAAGCTGGAACTCTTGGTTGCTTTCTTATAAAAGCTCAACCAGAACAAAGTCTGCAATTCTATATTTCCATTCTATCATGTAGTTCAGAGTAACCTCTCCTCTATTTCAATAAGCAATCATAAAAAAAAAAAACAGATTTCCCTGGGTTAATTATCTAAATATAACTTAGCAAGACCCAGAATGCATTTCATTTTTGTCATTATTATATGGTAAAAGCAAAAGAGAAAGCCTAAGGAAAATTTTAAGGAAACCTAATATCAGTAACATTACTATGTTATAAAATATCATTGCAGAATTTCTCAGAAGGAAAAACAGTATAAGGAGGAGAAAAAGGAAGTGCAAGAGATGTGTAATATGACAGTAGTAGTAGTATTAGTTCATCAACGCTACCAAAAAGATTTAAATATGATTTTCCACTTAAAGATTTTTATCATATAAAACAGAATTCTTACACATTTTTTGTTCATTAATATAATCATTTCTCCCAAGAAATACAAATTATATTAACAGGCTTATCCATTTCCAAAAAGCTTAAGGTTGAGAAAAATTGTCAAATCAGTCACTATTTTCAGTATGATTCCCAGCACATAAGCAACAACAAATAATGGTGAAGAATAAGTAGTTCATGAAAACATTTGATTTAGGCCAAGGTCACCTTTAGTCATCCAATCAGAATCCAGAATCTAAGAAATTAAATTTTAATAGTGGTATCTCCTTAGCAAGTGTGTGTGTGTATATAAGTGTGCGCACGCGCGCGCACACACACACACACACAAATTAAGAATAGGGATTGCTCATCTAAGTTCTTGGGCTTTCCCATCCTCCTCATCTAGGTCTCATACCCATTTTCCTTCTGGATGCCTCAGATAATTCTTGGTCTGGTAATTTCCTTCCTCAGTTGCTTCTAATTCGGGCTTACATGCTGGTTTCATCCTACGAAATTAAACATTAGCATAACTAGTAGTAGATGAAAAGTAACAGGATCTCAGTTCTCTTAGAAGAAAACTCAGCTGAAAATTAGGAGCCTCATGCCCTGCCCTCAGCTCCACCATCGATCAGCAGTGTAATCTTGGGCAAATCACTGAAGCCACAGTTCAACTAAAAGGGTTGTAAGTGAGAATGTGTAAGTGGCAAAGACTACGGGAAACAGCCCATTTGGTATGAAGGCAATGGCGGCCAAAGACCCTGCTATAAAATGGCTATATTGCCTTGGGTAACCCTCTGTTCCTCTTTCTTCATGTACAAAATGGTAATAATTAGTCTATCTTAGATAGGTTCATTTGATGACTGACTGAAATAGAAACTATAAAATGTTTGATATATAAGCTATTAAATGACTATTACTGACAAACACTATACAAATTTAAGCCCTATTCTGTTTTTATAAAAAAAAAGATTTTAAAAATTCCAACTATACATAAGTACTAGGGCATAGAAATCGAAATACACTAATGTTCTATTCTACTTTTTCTGAGGTTTATTCCTCTTTTTCCTCTTAAGATGAAACCACTTGATAGATTGAATTGGTTTTCACAGTATACATTTAGAATCAGTATTCTGAATTTGACCCTAAAGCAATTAAATCACAACCACAAGCCACACACCTGCGGGGTTTTTTGCAAATAGATTTAAAAGAAAAATTTTGACATTAACATTTGTACTTTAAATGAAATTCTTTTAAACAGAGTTTATGCATACTGGTTTATGCAAAATTTGTTATTGACCTATATTATATTCGTGTGCTTATGGAAATGGAAAAGGTTTTTAATAACTAAAACCATAATGAAATGAGAAAGGGGAGAGAGAGAGGGGGAGGGAGGGGGAGAAGGACGGGGGAGAGAAAGAAGGTGCACATTTGTGTTGAGAGTAAATCCAAGAAATCACAAATAGCCTTAACATTACCATCCAGGAAAGTCTGTTCAAGATAATCAATGATCTGAGTGGCCTCACAAATTATGTTTTCCCCGTGGATAAGGACAGGCACTTCTCCAGTTGAGTTCAAACGCATAAACCAAGGCTCATTGTGCTCACTCAGGGGCAGACTTACATCATGTTCCTCGCACTTCAATGCCTTTTCAGCAATTACCAAACGCACCTGGAAGAGTTCACAAGGGTTACAGCAGTGCAGATAAGCTTTCAGTTAAATGACTTCCTGGATACCACTAAGCAGCCTTGCTGGGCTTCCAGAGATATTAACATTTTAAACGTTCTTTATAAGGATAGCTATTCCTAGAACGAATAAGTGAGATGTATTCCAGGGCCCTACTCTTAAAAAAAAAAAAAAAAAAAAAAAAATTTGAGAAGACAAAGTACTGAAAATGATTCTGTCTGTATTATAGTCACCCTTCCCATCACCACCACTTTAGGTCCTAAACCTCATTATGGGTCCTCCCCCGACAAGAAGTTGAAGTACAGGTATCCTGGGCCTTGATGGAGAGAGTGAATTTCAGGAAGAGTGAAGAAGGGAGGGTTAAAAAAAAATGTAGATTATTAAGCGGTTGAATTAAGGAGCCTCCTCTGCCTGACTCCACAGGGCCCATTGCGCAAGGTCCAGAGAGGCCTTTCAGATTCTGAAAGTGATGCTTTCTCATTGCACGTCATGACTGGCAGTGTTGGGTCACTCCTTTTCCATCCCAGACCGATTCTCCCGCCTTTTCCCAAAGCTCATCCCAGCCCCGGAGCGCGTGCCCGCCGGGTTAGGACTCCGGAGGCGGGTTTCTGGGTAGGCCGGCGTGGCCCGGCGACACCCAGCGGGAGCTGTCCCGGTGCTGAAACCCGATCCGCGCGGCCCCAGGCAGCCGAGGCCTGTACCTTTTGAGAGCTGAAGGAATGCGTCCAGTGGTACAGAATGAGCTTAACCTCCGCGTCGGACTTGCCTTCCGCCATCAAGGGCGCTCCCGCCCTCTGCTCCTCCTGCCTCCGAGCCATTGCGGAGAGCTCGAGCGCAGGGAGCCTCGCCCGTCCGCCCGGCGCTTCTCCCACCCACGCCGCCTGGCGGAGCTTCTCTAGGTTTGCCCCGACGCCTGGCGGGGTAGGTGGGGGGACGATGAAGAGACCTCTGGGAAGTGTAGTTTTCACCCGCGAGAAGCTGCGGGGCCGAGGCCGCAGAGAAGCAGAGCTCTGCGCGCGCACGAGGGCCTGGAGCGCGGCAGTCAGCTGGGAGGTGCAACCAGGAGTATTTTAGGTTAAAAAAAAAAAAAAATCTAAAATATGAGTCCCTGGTTATTACGGTAAGGGAAAGATGGAGATAGCAAATTACTCATTGGTTTTGGAGGTTGTTTGGGTAGAAGGGAGCAGTTTCCCAAGATACTTAGGGCTCTTTGGTGGAAAGGAAGTTCCGGTGACAGATTAATCAGGACCAATGAGTTTTCACTAGAAGATGCTCTCATGAAAAAGAAAAAAGAAAAAAACATAAACAATGGCGATGTAAAACAGACTAGTTGTTAAACACAGAATTTTACAACAGAACTACCTGGAGTTATGTCCTAGTTTTTTCTTTTTCCCCATTTTTGAAGTGGAGGTAATTTTATTTTGCTCATGCAAAATTTGTTATTGACCCATATTATATTCGTTTTTGCAAGAACTTAATACATAAATAAAACGTTAAACACTCAGCTGGCACGTTGTAGACACGTAATATTATTCACAAGCTTAGTTGCCTTATAAAAATCTCTTTATGGTCATAGGCAGAATCATGCTTTCATACTAATTATTATTGTATACCTCTTAAAATTTGGCATCATAGTAAACTGGTAACATTTTTAGTAAATACACATAAATAGGATCATGAAATAAATCCCTGTGCAATTTGTGCAGCAAACATTGAGTACCTACTATTTTCCAGGTATTTTACTAGATCCGGGGAATACAGAGTTGTGCGTGACCTGAAACCTGGCACCCAAAATATAATTCTGGTGGCAGAGACAACAAATAGGTAACCACAATAAAAATTAAAACTGTCTTAGGGCAAGCACAAGATACTGTGAGAAAGAAAGGGATGGTGCCCAGCCCAGATAGGAAGGGCCCCTAGGAGACACAAAAATTTCCTGAGGTTCTTCCAAAGAGTGCAATAAAGACAGCACTTCATTTGTTCCCTGTAATTTTTACAATTTTAAAAGATTTTATATTGTCTTCATATATTCTTATATTAATTGAAATGCTTCAGCAAAAGTGATCTTGCAAAATTTGTTTTTTAAGTAGGTCAGTGCCCCCACTTCATCCCAGGCCAGGTGCTGGTATTGAGTCCAGGTCCTCAAGGATGCCAAGCACTTGATCTACCATTGAGCATCAGTTTACTTTAAAGTAGAAGGGGAATGAACAAACTTTGAAATTAGACAGAATAGAGTTTAAAGTCTGTGGTCACCCTGGCTTGATGTCTCTCTTCAGCTTTTACTTCATCACATATAAAATATGGATACGTAAAAATATGTGTCAACCCAGAATGCCATGGCAATTCAAGGAGAGAAATGCACCAAGAAAAAAGCATCAAGACACTGCCTAGAATGTACCAGTTGATGGAAGGTTGCCTAAGAGTCCCTCCACTGACAGGAAAAGACTCATACTATACTGAATCCTCTCTTTTTAGGCTTCACCATTCTTACAACTACAGTACCTATATAATCCTCCCATTCTTCAGAAGAAGAACTGTATTTTTAATTTTCCAACTCCAAATTCTGAAATATATAGTTCATTTTTCCTTGATTTACTAAATCACCTCAATATTCGAATAAATTCAACACTCATGTTGAGTCATCTGATGCTTGAAGCTGAAAGACTCCTGACAACAAAACTCTGGCTCATCAAACACTAAGAACTTCCTTCTCCATTACATCTTCCCAGTAGCAAAACCATATAGTGGACATTGAATGAACCGCCTGATTGCTGTGTCGGTGTTTAGTACCAAGTATTCATATTCATTGGCAATGTAAACATGTGAAGGGCCTCTGAAGGGAAATTTATCAATATGCTTCAAAATGAACATAACTTATGTCAATTCCTGTATTTTCAGTTTAAGGAAAAACTAGAAAAATCTACAGTTGGCCCTAAAAACATCTATTTTCCCCTTTTTCTATGGTAATAGAAATTTTAGCAAAGCACGTGGCTGCTGAGAATAAAAACTGCATTTCCCAGGCTACACTGCAGCTAAATGTGACCCTATGACTGTATTCAAACAAAAGGGCATGGATGTGCCACACGCATGTTCTAAGAATCATCCTCACAGAGGCAGCCAGATGTTTGCCTCCTCATCCCCATCTCCATCCTGCCCCCAAGGAAAGTGGACACTGACTTAGATGAGGAGGAAGGAGGCCACACACTAGGAATGGCTAAGTCATGAGCTGGGAGGGAAATAACCTATGAAGACACTGGGGAGCAGAACTACCATAACCACCTCCATCTCCAAAACTCCATACTTAAACAAAATATAAGCCATATGGATTATTGGGTTACTAGTGTTTTAGTGAGCTTTCCCATTGCTACAACTAAAAGACCTGAAAAGAACAATTTTAGAAGAGGAAGAGTTCATTTGATGCATAGTTTCAGAATTCTCAGTTCATAGAAGGCTGGCTCCATTCCTCTTAGCTCAAGGTGAGGCAGAACATCATGGTGGAAGAGTGTGGTGTGTGGTGGAGGAAAGCAGCTCAGGGCATGACAATCAGGAAGCAGAGTGTTTTAGTCAGCATCGCTGCTGTGACTAAAAGGTCCCACCCAGAACAACTGTAGAGGAGGAAACATTTATTTAGGGGCTCACAGTTTCAGAGGTCTCAATCCACAGACAACAGGCTCCATTCCTCAGGGCTCCCAGTGAGGCAAGACATCATGGTGGAAGAGTGTAGCAGAAGGAAGCAGCTCACATGATGATCAGAAAGCTGAGAAAGGTCTCCACTTCCCAGATAGAAATATATACCCCAAAGCCATGCCCCCAATTCCCACCTCCTCCAGTCACACCCCACCACTTCAGTTACCACTCAATTAATCCCCATCAGAGGGTTAATTCACTGATTGGGTGAAGACTCTCACAACCCAAACATTTCTCCTCTGAACCTTCTTGCATTGTCTCAGACGTGAGTTTTGGGGGGACACCTCACATCCAAACCATAACTACAAAGTTCAGCATTGCTCACCAGAGACAAAATATAAACCCCAAAGGCATGCCCCCCAATGACCTACCACTCAGCCATACCCTATCTGCCTACAGATACCACCCAGTTAATCCTTATCAGTGGATTAATGCACTGATTAAGTTAAGGTTCTCATAACCAACCCAATCACTTTCACCTCCAAATTTTCTTGCATTGTCTCACACATGCACTTTTGGGGACAACACATATCTAAACCATAACAGGCAGTGTTATTTGGGGTTTTACAGATGCTCGTGTCTTAACTTCTCCTCACTAATATATCAACTTTGTGAAATACAAGTGGTTTCTATTTCTTTATGCTTCTGTAGATTCTAATTTTTCTATAATTGGATATGTATTGTTTTTACCTCTTAAAGATGTGAACACTAAAAGAATATCATTTCCTTTTATTTTGTATTCCAGTAAAAACCACTGGTAGGTAATACAAAAATCATATTATCTATTCAGGTGTTCGTTCAGAGCTTCTATTACATTGTCTTTATATTCTGTAATATGTCTTTGTATGTCCTAGCATTATTGAGGGCTCTAAGAGGATAGAAGCCAGATTCAGGAAAATTAATGTTTCAATATACATTTAGTGAACACCACATGTTCCAGGCATAGTACTGGATGCAGAAGAAATGGAGTTAAAACTCACAGTCACTGGCCCTATGTGGAAGGAGAAAAATAACATTTAAATCCAGTGTTGTAATTGCTTAAATATTTAAATTATGATAGCAAAGCACCTAACACGGAGAGGCTTCCCAGAAGAGGCAATAATCTTTACCACAACTAGTATTATATTAGGGGGGCTATGGCTGTAGCTCAGTGGTAGAGCACCTGCCTCACACCTGTGAGGCACTGGGTTTGATCCGAAGCACCAAATAAAATAAAGGCATTCTGTCCACCTACAACTACAAAAAAAATTTTTTAAATGGCTTTGAGGGTTTCCCTGTGAAAGTATGATATTAGGACAGTTGCCAATATACCCAGTGTTGTGCTGCCATTAGCTCATGATAGCTAAATGTTAAATTTTCAGGAATTTTGCAAGCTGAATTTCAATCCAGCCATTACTAAAAATTAATCAAATTGATTTTTTTACTTAATAAATTATTTTTAAAGAAAGCCAGCAAATACTCAAAAATCATCACTCCCTAATTATCTTATTATCTATGCTCTTGAGTTTATTTATGTATTATATCTACATGATGAAAATAGTATATAAGGATATGCTATTGTGCATCTCTTCCTAACTCTTTGTTCAATGATACTATGTTAGTAGTTTGAAATTCGCCATAGTAGTATTTATAGTACAGAAATCAGTACATGGTATGTTTCTTTTTCCCCAGAGAATTGGTTGTTAAACATTTACTGACATACCCTGGAATGTATCTCTTATTCAGTATTTAATAAATTGTTTTTTATGATGATAGCCAGAAAAATCCTGATTAAATCTGTGAATGAGGGACTGGGGTTGTGGCTCAGCAGTAGAGCGCTTGCCTAGCACAGGCAAGGCCCTGGGTTCCATCCTCAGCACTGCATAAAAATTAATTGATTAATTAATTAAAGATATTGTGTCCAACTACAACTAAAAAATAAATACTAAAAAAAATCTGTGAATGAGTACATTTGTATACTAATCTGCTTTTGTCACTTCTTCCTGTCCCAACCAACTTTAGTTCTATTTCCTTCTCCATTTCTCAGACACCCACTGTCTTAGGTACCTTTCATTCTTCTTACTGTGCTTAGGAAGAAAGTGGATATGCACATAGCAATCTGTCCACTATGGAACACTGAGCACTTTCTCTAGCATATCTTCCCAGTAGAAATTTTAAAACCATGAAGTAGATACTGCATTAAT